ATTGTACTGTTTTGTTTCATTATATTCTAAACCGAAGTTATTGTGTCATAGTCGGTGATATTACATAAATCGAAGAAGGCAAAGGTAATATTGGAATATATACCTCAAATATTTGAAAATTAGGTCCTTAAATCAATACAACTATAGTATTGATCCATTTGAACTAGTTAACAGGCAGTGTTTGTACGTGAAATCATCGAAATTTTATATAAACTTTTATGTATTTTAATAAAAAATAAGCGACTGTAAAAGCTCAAAGTCATGACCTAATAATTAGGGGGAATATCTATGTGGTTAATTAGAACGTTTATCTAAAATAGAAATGGCATATTCGAACGAGAAGAAACATGAGTTTTTCGGAATTTGATAACTAAATATGATGTGCTTCCTCAAAGGATGACTTACTCTCCTAGGTTAACGCAATATCAATAAAACAAGGAACAAGTGAGATCAACCACTTACTTCTTACAAACAAGCCTGGTCATATCACTGTTAGGTCATTCAGGTTGGATGTGACCTTATATTAAACGTCCTACTATGTACTCGTGTGTGAATAGGTATGATTATTAGACTGTGACTCAGTGAACTATTTCGTGTTTTCTCAGTGTGATTTCAAACGAGCTAAATGTGAATTGGTTTGGTAATAAGATCGCTTATATTGACCGCAGTCGGATTTAGTGAAAAACAAAATGTTTTAGGTACTTTTCTTCGAAGTTTGTTTAAGTTGAAGGGAATTCAACGAAGAAAATATACCCATGGTTATTTAGTAAATGTATGATTTTATAGAAGGCCGAAAAGAGATTACATGAAAAAGTGACCCGATGTCTCATATATTGAAAGACGTTTGCGTAATGATTGAGAAGTTAGAGGGAATAAAATCTCGGACCTCTCATTGTTTTTATTCAATGACAAAATGAGTTAATTTAATTATCTGTTTAAGTTATTTATATATTATCTGAAACCGACCTAATGTTTGCTGAAAACGGCGTACAGCTGCTATTATAGACTGGATCTATACTGCTATTATTATATCTCTCTGCAAAGCTCAGATGTTATTTGGTAAAGTTTAACATTACATTAGATTCTTCAATATATATTACGTCTTAATCGACGTGAGTTAATTTGTAAATACATATATTCGTATAGATGGTATTTTGTCTTTTATTCGAAATTAAGTATCTCGAAGTGTGTTAGTTGTTTCGCTGAAATTTCCAAGATTCGTAGTAGCTCTTTAAATGAAACTTAGGGAAAAGGTGAATTTGTTTTGACTTTTTAATTGGAAAACAAAGTTTCAGATAGATTTTTCATCAAATATAATCATAGGGGGATTAATTGTTGTGTGATCTGATTCAGTAAGCAATCCTGTATATGAAATGTGTAAGTTGTGTAAAACATTAGACGAAAATTTTATTGAATAAACGAAATATACCCATTAAGACATTAATTAAGAAAGATTGATCCAGAGAAGAAGCTGTACAATCGTATACATGTGATAGTAATTACAATAATAATGATAATAAACTTGTGTTAGACATGGTGACAGTGAGATGGAATAAACAAAGTTATTAAAAAAAATTTAAAAACAGGTAAAGATTAAATGTAGTCAGGAGGATCATAGAAGCAGAAGTAAGCCAGATGATGGTAGAAGGATTAAGAAGATGAAAGGGGAAGCAAATGGCTCTAAAGAAGGAAGAATATGAATATGTTAGATTATTGAACTTCTTATTGAGCTGTTTCCTCCTCTTCTTAACCACGCCCGGTAATGTTCTTGAATTCTTTTGGATAAAGTACGCATCGAACGACCTATATACCTCGCTCCACATGAGCAGGTAAATTGAGTTGATCAGATGAGATAATTTATCCTTAAAATTATTCATGAACAACGATTTTAGAGAATCAGATATTCTCCTCTTTAAGATATATGTGGCTATGTCACCCTTAAAGGCGAAATTCATGTATAATGTTTTCTTTTCGACTGAATATTTAAGCCATTAACAATCAAACGACTATTACTTTATTATAAGAGAGGGTTTTGTGGAGATTTTAGTAATTTAATAGTTGCATTCATGAGTCAATTGAAACTAGACCACCATGGAAAACCTGGACGGCCGTCCTAGTATGAGATTCCTAAGCAGTGGTCTAGAGGTTAAGCGTTCACGCGTGGAACCGATATGTCCTGGGTTCGAATCGCAGATACGCACTGCTGAGGAGTCCCATACTATGACGAAACGGCCTTCCAGTGCTTCCAGGTTTTCCATGGTGGTTTAGCTTCAATTGACTCATGAGTTCAACTATTAGATTATTAGTTTTTCTATTTAAAAAATTTTTAATACCTTTGTTTATACTATCTCACTTTCACCATGTCTAACACAAGTTTATTATCATTATTATTGTAATTATTATCATCCTAAAATATTAAGTATATATATTTACGATTGTACAGTTTCGAAGGTTTTATTCTCTATGATTACTTATTTTCGAAGCAGCAACATCTAACACTATGAACTTCATTTATACCAATTTTGAGAACAAATTCATACCTGCCTTTTATATGCATTTTGAAGTGTTCAAAGAAACGGGGAAGGAATGTCACTATAAGAACTAATGGTATTGAATCCCTAGATAAAAGCAATGTCTGATGTTTACGCATCGCTGACTAGAAAACCTTATAAGTTAATAAGATTATTAACATTTCTTCTACAATACACTGGTTGTAGAATGTAAGTACATCTACTTTCTCACTATAAAGTCAACTATTTTATGTTGAAACTGAATAAGTATTTATAAAAGGTTGTGGATCATATCTTATCGTAATGAACTACCACAGCTTCTAGTCAATATACAACCAGCTGGAATAAACGTCTTAAAACATAAAAGTTATATATTGGCTAACATTCAACAACAGTATATTTTATGTTTAATTTCACAGATATTTGATTTCTTTATGCGTAAAGTTACACCGCGTGATTTTCCTACAGAACTTTAGAGACAAAGTATGACTTTCAATGATAAGAAACATATCCTGTGCCTCTATAAGTGCATCATAAAATACTGATCGAATAATAGATAACTAATTTGTATTACAAGGTAAAATGATTCAAGAACTAGATGACAAAAAGTTTGTATAGAATCATTATTCATGTTTATATTGGGTGCCCCCGAATGCCCACATACGAATGAGGGTGGAGAGAGTTCGTTCTCCCTCACGAAATCATCTTACACGGTAATGCGTATACAGCCACTGCCATGGAAGTCCTACTCACTGACTTCTTGAAGTGGGGGTGTTTACGAAATCGAGAGGACGAAAAGCAAATGTCCGGCGTTTTAACAGGGTTAGTGTATATGGAGGATCCATCTAGGTAATAGGAAGACCTTGATTCCAAACCAATGGTGCACATGGGCTTCAGGATACTGAGGGAGAAAATAGAGTATGAACCTTTTATTGGTCACTAGCTACCATGAGGCCACATTTGCTAAAGTTCCTCCACTGCCTTGTGGATTAGACCTTTAGGTCAAAGGCTCCGGGCGTGGTCCCTTAAGAAAACCATCTGCTTCGGTTTGGGCGCGCGGGCAGTATTTCAGCGCTTACACAAATCGAATGACGATGTGTGGAGCATATATAATTGGTGCCTCTTTGTATCAGTGCTTATGTGTTTAAATAAATAAAATTTATATTAAGTGGATTTATCACACACTACTGCAGCAGAATAAATTGTTTTATCACTTATCAGGCATAAATATACTGAACTAACGTATGGATGTAATCAATGAGAATGATTATTATGTATCGTGATTGATAATGAATGGAGGACAGTTAAACGATGAAGTGAATTGGTATCAGTTTAATATTAAGTAGTCGAAATTGTCAACGAATTGGTTACTATTCAAATACATGTATATACAACAAATTATTAAAATTTTAAAAAAAATGGTTGTATGCTATGGAAATGAATTTCCGTTCAAAAGTTCAGATCGATTAGTGATTGAGTTTTAAATCTATCAAAGATAATCAATATATTATTGAATTATTTAAGGTTAAGAAAGAGAGTTTTCTTTGTTCATTCTACACAATAATCACTGTTAAGGCATTTACTTTGATTAAGTAAGCTTTCATTGTTTGTCATCAACGTGATTTTGCTCATTCTTGGAGTTGAATGTATGTGATTGAATGCTAATGATAAATATTTATATACAAGAAATTATTTAATGTTACCTACCAAAATTAGATTATGATAATAATCACTATCCAAAGAAACTTAGTTTTAAATTTTTGTATATTAAATATATTGAACTATTTCATAGGAAGTATAAAAAATACCAATTTAATTTAATTACTAAATAAAAATTTGTGTATTTCATTTTAAGCGCCAAACATATAATCCAATAATTAAAAGTTGCCAAATGCTTTTTATTAAATTATCAATTTCAATTTATTAACTTAGCATAATGCATATATATTCAAACTTGCCCCCCAAATGCCCTGATACGGCCGAGAGTGGGGGAGAGTCCACTCTCCCTCTCGAAATGCTCTCACATAGTCACACATATATAGCCTTTCCCAGGGATGTCCTATTCACTGCCTTCTCGTGGCATTACCGTTGTTTACGAAATTGAGAGGACGAAAAGCGAATGTCTGGCGCTCTAACCGGATTGGTGGACATGGAGAGTCCACCTAGAGGAGTTGGAAAACCTTGATTTCAAACCGACGGTGTGCATGGGCTCCAGGATCCTGAAGGAACAAATGGCGTATGAACCTATTGTTGGTCACCAGCTACCATGGAACAGCATCTCCTGACGTTGCTCCACTGCCTTGTGAATCAGACCTTTAGGTAGAAGGCTCCGGGTGTGACCTCCTAAGAAAACCACCTGCTTCGGTTTAGGCATTCGGGCAGTATCCCAGCCCTCACACATATCAAATGAGATTTGTGTGGCGTATATCTATTTGGTGCCTCCTTGTACCAATATCTATGTGTTAAAATAAATAAATAAAATTCAAACTTACATAATACAATCATATCTTTGTTTTTGTTATTTCTTACTTTTTATACACAATTTAATTGTCTTTTACAAATTCACATATTAATTAGTATTATTACTGTTATTACTATATTGTATTGTTATTAGTTCAAAGATATCACTGAAGAAAAAATAATTAAGTGAATGAGAGAAGAAAAAAAAGAGGGGAGCGGTGGAAGATTGAGTTTGGACAATATCAATAAAGTATGAAGAGACCAGATCATAAAAATTTATACGCACAAAATTGTATGTTGCATATAAAAAAAAATCGTGTTTTTATTTTATTTGTTTGTTTGTTAAACTATAGATTGAAGTAGTAGTAGTAATAATAATAATAATAATAATAATAATAATAATAATAAGGTGCTGTCCCAACATATGAATATGTATATATTATGTATAAATTAAGAAGACTCTTGTTCTTTACCCTGAGTATTCTTTGATAACCTTTGTGCTCGACGTTCATCAATCCACATACGAACAGCTGAACGTAAATTTTCTTGTGGTTCAACTTGAGACATTGTTAATGGTTTTCTACTAAATGGATCAGTAGAATCACTAAATTCAAAATAAATAAAATGAATATTTTTAGTATAAAGGGATTGATGGAGGTTGTTCAACCTCGTAATTTGTATTACAGACTAAGTTTAGTTAAACAATTATTGAAAACTGGAAAACACTATAAAGCTATTTCGTACTAGGATGGAACACTTGAGAAGTGAACATCCATTATTCCACAAAGGATCAAACCAAAGACATTAATGTTTTGTGGCAGGAGCTTAGTCATTTAGACTACTGAGTTAGCCCCCAACGGTTGCCCAATTCCGAGAACTGATTATAGTTAAAATAGTAAATTATGAAACAGTTGTCCAGTGCTTCCTGGTTTTTAGTGTTTAAGATCAATCTGTGAAATAAACTTTAAAGAGTTGATATTGATAAAAATTACATACATATACTAGTTTATTATAGATTGTACAATCAATGTTACGTTGTCTAGTCCCTAGTGTGTTGATCAAACCCTATTATTGAGCAGTTGCTATGTAAGTAGCACCAGTTTAATTGATGTGATAATAACACGATAGATATTTAGTGGTTGACAGAAATCGACTATGACACTGAAGTTAGCAGACTTTGGAGGCTTATCCTATAAAATCAGGCAATACTACAAATTATTTCGATGACACAAATAAATCAACACTAAGTTAGTTACTTAGATCTAAGTAACGTAGGCCTTGACACATACCTGTAACGGTTTAAGTTGTCACGCCTTGATACATGATGTTTTCTTGTGTAGAATTAGGTTGGAAGAATGTTAGGAATGGCCAAAGCACGAAATGACATTAGTTCATGAAGTCATAGAATGCTTGACGAAGTCGCGTTTGTTAATGAAAATTTCCAGGTTGGTTAGGGGTGATAAAATGACGACCTAGTGGTTAAAGCACAAGCTAGTCTCTACTCTTCTCCAAACAATTATTCAGTGAAAGCAATTATGTAGTAGTACTCGTTGGGATTTCAAGTACAAAAAGCAGAATACACTAGGCTATACTACTTCGAAATTAAGCCGTTTTGTGTTATTTTAAAATGTAACAAAATTGGTTTCACTCTACTATACGAATGTTAAAATACTGGGTAATTGTACACACTTCTGATTTAGAGCTCTTTGTATTATACAAAAAAACCAAAACACACAGGTCCTCATATATAGAAAGCAATATGTCAATCTCCTAATTGTCATTCTGTTCAACTACAAGGCAGACCGATTCAAAGGGACCTGGGCTTTACAGATGGATAGTCAAGTGAACCACAATTTTACATCCTGTGAAAATATTAATTGACGTGCACACCGTTGCAGTAGTGTATAACCATTATTTAGTATAAAAAAAATAGAACAATGATAATTCTTTATTTTAATATTTCCAATTACACATTATATGTATTCTACGAACACTTCATACACATTAACAACCTAATTGATTACTTAAATTTAAGCCACCACTTATTTTCTAATCCGATTGAGTTTTTGTTTGTTCGTTTCCTTTAGAGTTCAAAATAGTTGGAACTAATTTGCTAAATGTACCCTACTGTCTAACATGCATCTAAAAAAAGACGTTAACGATGAACAATAAACATTGCACAGTTATTTCATCCTAGTATGAGACTACTGCTCAGTAGTGTGAACTCACGAACAAACTACGGATCAAATTTAGGGTCTTAAGGTCTCACAGAGAATGCTTGACCTTTAAAACAGCGTAAGCATCCCAATAGTTTGTATTTTTATCTCCAGATAATTTGTGATATTGCGCAAATATCGCTTACTGACATTAGTAATATTTGTCTTACATCATTTACGTCCAGTAATTCCAAATTTTTAACAATTATGTCAGTTAGTGATGCGAAAATTCCACCATTATCTAGTTACAAAATCGTAAAAATATCACTACAATCGTTAGCGATCTCTGAGCATTCAGGGTCTTTACGATAACTATTAACCAACTTCTAAAAACGAATATTTCCATGATATTTGACACTGGGTTTTAAGTAATGAGAAACAAGTAGGTTGTTTTACACAACCGAATTCAGCATCATTGCACTGCATAACAATACGTATGCGTCTAAATTCTCACAGTAAAAACAACCAAGATTTTTTTAGTTCTCACCGCTCTGTACTTTGTCAGCGCGGATTCGAGTTCAGTAAAAACATCAATATCCAACCGACGAGTCCTATATAAGACAAAACCCACGCCCTGGATCACAATCCCAATCAACCATTCTTTTATACTTAGTTTCATCATATTCTTTCGTTAGAGAATATCATTAAGGAAAGATTTCGTAAAGCATGCACTGATTATTTGTAAGTGTAATCCAATGGGAAAAGTAACTGGTAAAATGTATATCTATATTTGATTACAAAAAGATAAGTATATAACATATCATTAAATGAAACATACTTTAACAGATGACGATATATAGTTTTACGATCAACTATTTTACCCGATGTGGGCAATTTCACAGGATCCTCCATTAAACAACCCATAATTGGATCAATAAATTCATCCGGTGCATCATCTACATCTAGTTCTTCGTTAGTTTTTATTACATTTTCAGCCTAATCATACAACAAAAAAAAAAATGAACAGATGTTAAATCTAACATTTGTTCTTGCTTTACGCTAAATTTCAGATACTGATTGGGAATCTTCAACGCAAATGCTTACTTAGAAGATTTTAGTGAAGCATAAGTTCCCGATTGGACATTTAGAAAAGATGAAAATAACAAGGACATTTTTTAAACAAAGTTTTTCATTATAGTTCTATATTAATATACAAGTTCAATAATAATAATAATAATAAAATCGACACAAATCAAGTGATTTGTGTTATAATAAAGTGAATGAGTAAGAAAATGTACAGTTTGTTGAACAATTTATTTCATGATTGAGATCATGAACCGATTGATGTTAGACTGCCGCTGGAAACCTGGAAGCACTGGACGGCCTTTTATCATAAGCTTTCACTTGACCTATTGACTGTTATCATACGATTTACTATTCTTAAGATATTCCCAATTTATTAGTAACAGCCTATCACAATCACAGCCACTTTTGGACTTGATCTTATGTAATTGGTATTTTCTGTTTTATGTTATGATCCAGTCTAGTTTGTTAGTATATAAGCCAAGTATATCTGAAATATATGATCCGTGTAACGGAGGTGATAAAAGTGTTCTGGACTAGACCGGCTGGGTTTAGAGAGAACCTACTATCTCGATGGACCAATAAAAACTCAGAATTGACTCTGGACTGCCCATACTGGTTTATGTGTCATTAGTCTGGTCTTATAATTTGGTGTCTCTAATGATCGGTCGCATCACGTGAGATCATTAATCGGACATAACAAAATGATGCATCTCGAAAAGTATCTATTCTTCTATGAAGTAATAACGTTAGTCAGGAAAACATACAAAACTACAGTCATTGACAAATGTTTTGTTGTTATTGACGTCATAAATAAGCACCTTGTAAATAATGGCGTTATAACCCAGTAATAATATTGGATCAACGAAGATAAAGTTTTACATTCATCATAACATTTCATTCACACAAATTGTGCTGATGAGGTCACATCATCGTTAAGATAGCCAGTCAAATTTTTAATTTATTTATTAAAACAAATAAACATTGGTACAAGGAGGCACCAAATAGATATGCGCCACACAAATCATTCGATTTGTGTGAGGGCTGAGATACTGCCCGAATGCCCAAACCGAAGCAGGTGGTTTTCTTAGGAGGCCACATCCGGAGCCTTCTACCTAAAGGTCTGATCCACAAGGCAGTGGAGCAACGTCAGGAGATGCTGTCTCATGGTAGCCGGTGACCAACAATAGGTTCATACGCCATTTGTTCCTTCAGGATACTGGAGCCCATAAATACAAAATAAGTGGATTTTAATTCTTCTAGTCATACAGACAGATAAACCACTAAAACAAACTTATGGTTTATCGACAATACATATACGAACGGAATTATAAGTAAACAATAAATCATATACATACTTTAATTAGACGAACAGCTTCAGCGAATTTATTACATAAATCTATTGGTGCAGCGATTCGATCTAATACACGACAAGCTTGGTCCAACAAATCTGGTGTAAATGATCTTTCATCACTAACAACAGCTCGACGAAATGATTCCGATGATGATGGTAGCGAAGATGATGCTGAGGAAGTATTTAAAGATAATTTATCAAAGAGCGAAAAAACCCAAAGCAATATTCTAGAGAAAATAGAATTTAGTACCATAAAACGTTGATCGGAAAAACAAATGAGCATATAAGTTGTATTTATCATAGATTGATCTTAATAAGTGTACCATTGAAGACAAGGAAGCACTCGACAGCCATTTCGCTCCAAATAGGGACTCTGCATGAGGATCTATGTTCAATAATGGATAAAAGAGAGGACCTTCGGGTATGGTGGCGGAAGCCTAACCAATAGAATCACTAGGTTGACATCCAATCGTATAATTCCAGAATTCGTTAGTTTGTAATACAGAGCAGGAGTCATACAATGTCATAGGTAACAACTGTTTCACTCTCGTTATTTTTAAACTGCACTGTTCACAAATTTCCACTAGAACTTCAGGAACGTCTTAAAGTCAATTTGTGATCAATGCAATACACAAATTAAACCATTAACCACAAAAGCCCTTCAATTAAATCTAGTTGTGAATAATCTAATGACATCTTTACTTATCAAGACAATTTTCGATTACGAACATGAAAATTACAGGAGTAAACTAAAGTTCTCATAGTTAAAGCCGTCCCACCATCTTAGATATTTCATTGAATTATTTGAAATATATCTTACCTAAAATACACCATAGTTTTGCACATCAATTTTTATCTATTCATTATACTGACCAAATTTGGAAAAGGATGACTTGGATAAAATGGAAAATTGTAAGTAAGAACTAATATATTCTTAATAAATGTATCCCATAGTTAACAGCCATTAGTGAAAAAAGCCTTTGCTTCCTTTGACATAATTCAAAACCGAAAAGAGACGATGATCATATAAAAAGATTAATTTAAAAGAAATCCATTTGAGTAGTATCATATCTAAAGTTTCATAGTTTTATCCAACTGTAATATAAGAACGTAGCTTAATATAATACTAATTTAACAAAATTCAATGTATTAACAGGATGGATAACGAATTAATACTTATTGAGTTCTGTAAATCGCTGAACAAGTCAGACAGTTTTCGAAACCATTTGTTTTTACCATCATGAATAGAGTAGTCACCTTAATCAGGTATACAGAAGAAAGTCAAATAGTGTAATTTTAAAAGAGACTAAAAATAGCAATTTGGAAGATATATTATACATTTAAGCTTATTTATGTAGGAGAAAACAAAAATAATCATTTAATATAGACTATGACATCACATAGACTATTATATTACATCCTATTAATTTTATCAGTCTATAATATGTGTGGACACATGTAAACATGGAGCAGAAATTGAGATATTTGATTAGGGATAGGTAAAACAAATATCGAAATGGTTTCAGTAAGAATAATAATCTTGGATGAGAGAGGATAGCAGACAATTATACTTGTCTATAAACACCCCAATTAAATAAAATCAATAGTTAATTTACCGATTGTTTCAGTATCTGTTTCAACTGCTGAATCAGATCCACGAGCTAATATCTGGTATATTGCAGAAATTTCTAGTACCATTAAATCTGGTTTAAAACCATAAGCAGCTTTATCACGTACATTTAAATCACGTTGTTTTGGTCCTACCTATTATATGAAATGAAAGAATATACATTTATATATTTATTTACTAAAATAATATTGAAAGGAATGATTGTTCATCCATAAGTATCAAATTATTACAACGTAATCATCAGACACGTTATTTATCAACTGGATGATAGTTTAAGACTTCAACAACTGATTCATCTATATGTTTGCACTGATTTTACATGTTATTAATAAGCATTAGAGTAAGGCTAGAAAACAAGTCGTTACAAGTTTAGAAAAGAGAATTGATGAATTAAACAAATAAGACTATAACCTAAGATATAAATGTATACATTGTAGGCAGATATATCTGTTTATGATAATTGTATTTAGTTCAAAACTGATATCACAACCAAAACAAAACAGAAGTGAACTAGGATTATTGTATTATCATTGTAGTAAATAATTAATATGTTGACTTTAAACTCAATCGAATTTTCTAGCTTTAAATTTATGTTGTATCAAAGACTAGGAACCATGAACAGTACATTTGTACGTGTTAAAGATATCTTGTAACAGGGGAACAATAACAACAACACAATACATCAATCTAAACTCCCTTACAAAATACAAACAAGATAGGGGCTTAAAAGGAAAAAAAACGAAAGGTAAAAATTAAAGAACCGAAGTGAGAATATGGTACAGCCAAGATCAGTATAATAAATGAATTAGATTCTTATCAAGTGGATTATCTCTCATTATATACATAATACTCTTCAAATAAAGCTCATTCAATTTTTATACCACATCCAAGTAGTTATAAGAAAGATATGGTCAAATCTCTCTCAATCATGACGAGCAATTGTTGAGCAACAATGCTACTCTCTAACAACATATTTATTCAATTCATTAATCAGGTACATATTAGAATAATCAACTTCAAGACACAATTTGAGTGTGAGAACTAATGATGCCATTCGGTTATCTAAACCGAAGTAGCTGGAGGGAGGTTCAAACTACCTTTAATATCTGTCAGTCTACTGGTTCTGTTGATAAAGTTGTGTAGTTCACTCTCCATCCATTAAACACAATCGTCGAGTATTACTGTTTCAGAAAACTAACAGAAAAATCTAACAATATGTTGTTAGTAACCGAAAGAATTCTCTACTTGTACAGCTGAATTGTTAACAATGTGTATCAAAAAAACTATAAAAATTACAGATATGACGGAGTGAAAAAATGACATTACTTAAATCAATATTTTTGGTATCGATTCATTATGAATTTCTGCCAGGGTGACAGGTGTGAACTTTATTCAGTGTGACGTCTTAGTGTTTACATTTCTCATATCAATTTAATGTAAACTTCGCTCAATATGACAAGTGTGAATTTTCGTTCACTCGGAAACTTATTTTCCCCGTACTGATTTAGGTGAACAATATTCAATGTGTTTTTACACTAATTCTGCACTGTTCCCTATATGTGATATAATTCTGAGTAAAAATTAGTAGATAAATGATTGTCTGTTAGTTTATTGACGACATGATTTTTGGGAGTTGTTTAGGGACATCTTTTTAGAGAATCAATAGATTCTGATTGCACTAGTCTTTTGTGTTTTCTAATTTGTGACGCGGGAATTGCAATAGCTTCTGATAGTCAAACAAAACCAGTAGCACCACGAACGTGACAGACAGGACACGTGTATATAAGAACTATTTATTCCTATCATGAATACAATAGAAATACATATCATATTATTACCAAATTAATTTATTCTTTAATATTCTATAATTTTCTGCTTCTTAATTTAAATTGTCTAGTTCACTGATCGATCAAAGCATAGGTTTATGTACTGGCGGGCCTTGAATCATACCAGTTTTAGAATATGAAAGTTACCCAGCTGTTCAAATTGAACTAAATGAGACAAGGTTAGAACGTGCAGCCAAATGATTGAAAGTCAAGAGCTGAACCTATGCCCCAGTTTTCTGTTTAACTATGCTAGTCTAACATCTATAATACAATACCTACTGTTCCATTCGTATTTTACACTGATCCACCTCAACTTACGTTCCCCTTTCACTGTTGTAAAGTCTAACTGCAGAAATTTTAATCATGACTTAATCGGATTAGTATATTCTTATTAGAACTTAAACAGTTTTACATTAACAATTTTTATTGGAGACAAAGAAATAATAAATTTAGAATTCGTATCTAATAATCTGACAATGCAGAAATTGCAAAGTCAAAAAAGTACAAAAACAAATAGTCCAACACTTGTATATATATATATATAAGCTTTATGCAATAGGTACCTGAAAATCGCTATAACAACTCTGTCAGACATAAATATGTATACATGATACTTGATTAAATATTAACTAATATGCTACTCATATGATCCTATCAATGAATAGTAATCAATGGATAGGTGCTTGAAACTAGAGAGCATTGTATAAACATTTCATTTTAATATAAGTATTTTCAAGAGTATGTACATTTATGGTCCCATCAGAGATCGAATTACGGACCACAAGGATCCAATAGTCAAAATTTCTTCAACTTAAACCAATCACATAATTGAACTCAACAAAAGAATCACCAGTGTGTGCATTCACGGCACTACTACAAAAAAAGCATATTCCATAGATTTTGTGGCCAGTTTTACGATTTCTAAAGAGCATGACTTTGTTTATCTATTTACCCAATAAATGCGATCAGTTAAAAATAAAACAAAAAATATGAATAAATGAGAAGTAAAAAATAATCATGATCATCATCATCACGAGTTTAACTTACAAGTCTTGTTAAGAAATAATTTAGCATACAAGCAACTCGATCAACCAATATTGGATGTGTAATTAATTGTGAACATAAAGTGATTACTCGACGTAATGTAGCAATGGTATCTAATCCAAGCATAATATGATGTCGTGCTAAACGACCTGTATGTGCAAACAATGCTTCGTCTGAAGAAGAGGATAATCTAATATAACAAAAAAAATGATGATAAAGTATAAATATACAAATATACTGAACATGGAGGTTTTACTTATCATAAATTAATCTCAATTACAGTATAACTGGAAACCAGGGAGCATCGGACACCTGTTCTGTTCTAGTATGTGACATATGAACAGTGTACACCCTAGATACCAACGAAGATTTAACCCGGGATCATCGACTTTCGGAGTGGACGTTTGACCAGTAGGACCACTGAGTCAGTCAGTCAGTAACAACGTAGAACTTCGTACGTACGTACATCAGTTCGAGTTGCCACACCACATTACCACAGAGATGCACTTGTCGATTCAAATCCCGTAGTGGTAGAGGTAGTAAGAGTATAAGCAGTAATCGAGAAGATTAGGGTTTGGAGATGTTATTTAAAGAGTATAATCCAGTGAAAGAAATTTGGAAAAGAGGAAAAAAGGGACATGAAGAATTCAGAAGATTAGAATTTGGGAGAACACAGAGAGTGGATGCACCTGCGCCATTGCAAACGATTTTCAGCAATGTCATTCAGGGTCTCTAACCATCGGTTGCTGTCATCTCGCGGTCCCCAACCAGGTAGTCTACACCTACCAACATGACTCAGTTCACTTGTCAGTGACTTCATGGATTTGTGCCATGTTTTGGTTTGGCCGCCACTAGCTTTCTTCCAACCTACTCCTATACCACTGAACATAGCACGTCGAGGCAGTCGGTCGTTGGGCATACGTAACACGTGTCCCAGCCATCTCAACTGATGAAGTTTCACTACTTCATCAACTGATTTGCCATCCTTACCTAGTACCCGTTTCCTAACAACTGTGTTACTTACTCGATGGTCCCATGATATATGAGCAATGTTTCGAAGACACCTATGATCGAATACTAGTAACCTACGGATATCCTCTACTCTTACCGGCCATGTTTCACTGCCATAAAGTAGGACGGAACGAACTGCTGCGCAGTAAACACGTCTTTTGGTTGATAGACGGATATCTCGCCTACGCCATAAATGACGCAAGTTGGCAAAAGCTAGTCGAGCCTTCTGTATCCGTGCTGAGATTTCGTCACACACTAAACCACAAGGGCTGATGAGACTTCCAAGATAAGTGAAGCGGTCGACACACTCAACTACTTCACTCCCTATCACTAGTTCGAGTGTCGATGTAACCCAATCCTGAAGCAACATTTTGCATTTCGAGGGAGAGAATCGCATCCCGAACATGCTTGCATTGTTGATTAGAGTGGTCAGAAGACTGCATTTTGTCAGCGTCTTCACCAAATAAAACTACTTCATCTGCATATTCTAAGTCAACAAGTGAACCTCCCGGTAGAAGTTCAACCCCTGTATATTTAGATGAGGAGAGTGTTATCTCTAAAAGTACGTCAATGACAAAGTTGAACAAGAATGGGGAGAGTGGACAGCCCTGACGAACACCACTTGAGGTGATCAATTCTGATGACAGTTCGCCATAAGCTCTCACTCTACCAGTTGTGTTCGAGTAGAGAGCCTTTATAAGGTTAATGTACTTCTTTGGTACTCCTTTCAGTGACAAACACTGCCATAGAACCTCACGATCAATAGAGTCGAATGCCGCCTTAAGGTCGAGAAATACTACCATTGTGGGGCGTCTGAATGTGTGTCTGTGTTCTAGAACCTGACGTAGTGTGAATATCTGATCTATACAACCACGTCCAGGTCGAAAAACAGCCTGGTTTTCTCTAGTCTGCTCTTCACGAGCTTTAGTTAGGCGTCGAAGTATTATTGAGGCTAATATTTTAGACACTATATTAGTCAAACTGATTCCTCTGTGATTGTCATAAGAGGACTTTTGTCCTTTCTTAAAAACTGGCACAATCAGTGATTGAGACCAGTCAGATAGGATTACGTCCAGTTCCCAAATTCTACCTAAGACCTCAGTTAATCTCATTGCTAATACTGGACCACCATCCTTAAAAATCTCAGGAGTAAACCTGTCAGGGCCTGCTGCTCTCCCTCGCTTCAGATTTCCTATGGCTTTTTCAACTTCGTAAAGGGACGGAGGACTTACATTAACTTGCCATTCAGGTTGACTGGAGATCGTGGGAAACCGAAGTGTGGCTGAAGGCCAGTTGAACTGATCCCTAAAGTGTTCTGCCCATCGATCCAATCTCCTGGATTGAGAATGAATAATATCTCCATCTTTCTCTGAGATTGTTTCGCTAACGGTCGGGTTCCTAATTCCGGTTTCCTTAACGAGTCTAAACAATTGTCTGCTATTACCTATTGCCGCTGCCTTTTCCATCTCTCTTGCTTTCGCTACCCACCACTGTTCACGATCATTGCGTAGACTTCTTGTCAGCTTGCGCTTAAGCTGACTCCGCTCTTCATTATGTTCAGAGCCAGGTGGAATGTGTTTTCGAGCATCTATCAGTGCGATAGATGCTGCTGAGATCCAGTGTTGCTCCCTAACTTTACGGTTTACTTTACTAGCAGATATCACTGCTGTTTCCACAGCTTTTCGGATATCGTTCCATGCTGCCTCGGGGTGGGCATCACATACATGGCTGCCTAACTGTTTTCCTAGTTGTTCCTGAAATATACTCTTAGCTTGACTATCATTAAGTAGACCCCTAAGAGGTTTCCTTGCAGGATCTTTCCTACGTCCAGTAAGACGCAAGCAAATACGCGCTCGCACTAGAGCATGATCTGAATCTAAGCATGTGCCCCAGAATGAGCGACAGTCTTCTATCGAGCCCCTCCATCGGTGGCTGATAGCGATGTGATCTATTTGGGTCCAACGTTGGGACGAATTAGGGGGTCGGCATGTTAAAAGATGTTTTTCCTTATGCTCAAAGTTAGTATTTGCAAGGAACAGGCGGTTATCTGAGCATAGCTGCAACAGACGGTCGCCATTATCTGTTCTTTGAGCCACGACACCATAGGATCCACCTAGGTGTCTTTCCTTATCGCTTAGTTTACCTACTTGAGCATTAAAGTCACCGGCCACTATTACTACATCCGAGCGCTTAGCTTTTCGGATAAGGTCCGAAAGCTTTCTGTAAAACTCATCTTTTACATCATCTGAGCTGCAGTCAGTGGGAGAATAGGCAGAGACGACGAAGAGGCAACGACGAGTGTCCCTATCTTTCCGGATTCTTACTGTTCCGTTCAGTCGGACAGCGCACAAACGACTGTTTACTGGGATCCACTCTAAGAGAGCTAGTTCTGCCCTAGGACTCAATGCTATACCTACGCCGGCGAGGCCACGGGAAGCAGAATCAGGGCTTCCAGATACACGAAGCGTAAATCGAGTCGGTTCTTTATTTTGGCATGGTGAGGTCAAATGAATGACGCTACTTGGATCCTGTATGCGCGTTTCGGAGACGCAGCACACATCGATGGCGCGAGATTCTAATGTTTTAGCTAAGGAAGCCTGCTGTCCTATTTGGCAAAGTGTTCGTACGTTAAAAGCTCCTACGTGTAGTTTAGAGTGTGGTTTCAGGAGACCAGGAATGGCGTTCCACGTACTCGAATCGTTTGCCCTAGCGGTGCGAGGTGATAAAGAGACGTGAGGAGGGTTAGTCGGGAGGATAAGAGAGGTATTAGGAGGTGTAGGAAGGATTTGAATGTGACCACCTTGGTCTCTTGTGCTGTTACGGGTATGAGGGCTGATGTCACTTCCCGGCTGCCCACACCGTGGAAGGGTATTTCTTGATGAACCTGAAAACGAAATTGGATTAGTGTTGGTCTTGACGACCTGGGAGCGTGACCGCAGAGCCCAAGGGACAACTGCTTGAGGCCGGTCGCGCACGGCCTTTTTGAGGAAGGTTTTTGACGTGTTAGCTCCGTTCTTCAAGGGGCGTTACCGCCGGAGACGGAAATCCGTGAGGTAAGGTGAGGTGTGCATTTTTAGGGTCGACCTTTTCTAACCCCACCCCTCCTTGTGGGAAGGCAGCATCGCTGTCATGCTGGTTGTCCAAGGGAAACACCTTACTGCTGTCACACCTCTCTACAGTCAGCAGTACGACTTCGCCCTCAGACCTTGAGTTGCTGCTTTTAGTCTTACCGTTCGCCAATCGACCTGCCTGGCATGGTTGAACCTGCAGGAACATATGTTCCAGCCAATATAGCTCGGTTGGGTCATCACGATAGGCAAGCCCGACCACCGCGTCAAGGTAGCAGCTTCGACCACTGAGTCAGGGTCAAATGGTACAATCCCAAGTCTGATGAACTTTTGGAAAACACTAGATTATTCGGTGCAACTGCTGATTATTGTTTCAGTTATGACATGTATGAACTCCATCAGCCACGACTTGCCACAAAAATCATACTGTGAAATCTAAAGATACAAACAACTTTTTTAGAAATGCCAGGCACAGAGTGACTATGCAGCATGACGATTCAAAGGTGCAGGGGTTCACAGGGTTTAACTCCTACAGCAGTAACTGGAAAGTTCTACAGCTCGCGATTAGACCTTGGATTATTGAACATAATTATTGGCAGGCAGCAAAAGGCTGGGTAGAATGCCACCGATTACCAGCACAAACGATGGAAAATTGCAGTAAGGGCCAGTTCATTACGAAATTGATACAACCGATTAAGGACCTATTTAAAAAATATCCAGATTGGGTAACGGTTTGTTATCAGACTAGGCTAGACGGTATGATTAAGGGTATGTTGGAAAACAGAGTTATTAAGCTATCGACATATTTATTCGTGATTGAGGTTGTGTAGTAGGATAGTGGGCTTCTAAACACAAGTATACTTTTATTAACTCCAGTACTTTACAAATTTGATGAACATCAATATTGTTTGGAATCGTTGAACATCACTAACATGTATAAATTTAAAATGATGATAAAAAGGTTACTTCTTAAGGAGATAAAGATTATTTCAACTCTCAAGCATTCAGCTATAGCTTCAATTGATAGATACATCCAGAAAAATATAGTTCCGCAATGAAAGTTAGATTTTTATAGTACCAGTTAAATTTCTTTTGAACATATGTTTTTCCGTTATTTTTAAGTATTGATTGCACTGATTAATCTTTGATTGATGTGGTTTTAGTATTGACGGCAGGATTTATTAAACTATTGGAATATTTGACAGTTCACTGTCGAACAACTACTCACGTGTTTGTTGTAGAATTATTTACTGGAGAGTATTCTAATCTTTATGGCAGTGACTATCATTTAATTACTTGTACATATAACATATTATCTTGTCAACTGTTACACTAAACCACTAAAACCTTATCTAGTTGAACTGAAATAAAGGATTTTAATTAGTTGCATATCCATAAAGATTTACTCGCGATTCACACATCACATCATATCACAGACGCATAATGGATAATAATCTCATGAATTTAATATTGGCTTACATGATATAATTCATATGTATTAATGAAAAAAGCTTACCTCCCACCACATTTGTCTCTTTCACGTTCAGTTTGTTTAAGTTGGGCTAATAAACTAAGGGCTTCATCTAACAAAAAGATAGCATCATTCACCAAAAGTGATAAAAATTGTAGAAATAATGGAGGATTCACATCATCGATATGCGCTAAAGCTTCATTTTCTAAACGCTTGATATTTTAGAAAAAAAAATGTACAAACGGTTAGATAGAGAGATATTAAACTAATGGATAATAACATGTGAATTTATTGCAATCAGCTGCATACAGTTTAAGGAAACTTAAGAACTATAATAATATCTACGTGAATAAATCGTACGTAAAAAATTTGTTCTCCGTGTATCGAACGATACCCTCTGTAGAGTGAAATACAGTGATTTTGAAAGAGAAGATCAATTCAAATAGATATTACCGCGTAAGAAGAAAACAACTCAGTGGTCATAAAATGATCACAGTTTATTGAACAAATATTAAAAACGGATCTACTTATTTCTTCGAGAAATTATTAGAAGTCACCTGATAATTCCAAGGAAAATAAATCGTTAGAATACAGACGAATATTGAAAAGAATCGACTAATCAGTCATTTAAAAAATTCTAAAATAACTTTAGAAAATGACTGGATTCAGTATCCTAATTGAACAATTAACGAACTTGCTACAAATTTTATCAAGTTTTCTGGAAGCTTTCAATCACAAGGCCGTACAATCTTATAAATAGACGAAGCTTCGAAATAAAGTCTCTTGCATAAACAACAATATTTCTTTTGATGGTTCAAGAGTAGAAAATTACTAAGGACTTGGGATCGACGTATCAAAAATAACATGTTTAATACACTCAGTGAAACTGTTTTAAGATAGATACATCATTAGAGAACTATGTAGTAAATGAAAAACACTAAAGAAACACAAGATGATAGATTTTTTTACTTAAAAAAAGCATTAATAAAGCTAACAGTCATTAGAAAAGTGCAACGAAAACAACCTAATTTAAACCAGATAAGCAAAAACGATCAAGTACAGCTTCAAGTAAAAACTTGAATTAGTTAACGTTTTTATATAGCTCACAAAGAAAAAGTCAATAAATGATAAACCCACTAACCAAAAATATGAATAAAAGTGGTCAGACATGTATGGAATGAATGAAAAACTAAATAGGGGATTTGAAGAAAAAAGTGAATATATTGCTGAAAAAATAATGAGGTTTTAATAGCATAGCATCAGGATTCCAGCTACATAAGATCAAATCAAACAATTAATGACATTATTATGATGTATATATGCTGTTTCTAAACAATTTAGCCCAGGAACCTTAAGCATAGAAGGTAATGGAAAACTTTTTCACAAAATCCTAACGTTCAAATTATTGTTGGAGTGTTCAACCCTATCAAGAATGAGGCAGATATCAAGGTTAGCATTCAATAATCGTCGTAAAATACTGCCAATTGACTGAAGTGAGGGACGCCGTCCACTAGATTGAGGCCTAATATTTAAATTAAATTTTGTTAAATTTTGGACTTGAAGACCCGGAGTGTCATCCTGTGTCGCTTCATGGAAGTGGATTACTAAGGATTCTCAAACAAAAGAAAAACAACTGATCAGTATTTCCTGTTTTTTTTAAGGTGATCATAGTCTGTACTAAAAATTAACTCCACAAACAATCTAACTTGTACGAAGATTAAACAATTCAAGATGCGTTATAAAAAGAATCATTAACTTTACTAATTGAGAAAAGAAAAATATAAAAATAATATTAATATCAGAAGTGGTTTCGTGGAGATTTTAGTAATTTCAATAGTTGAAATCATGAGTCAATTGAAGCTAGACCACCATGGAAAACGTGGAAGCACTGGACAGTCGTTTCGGCCTAGTATGAGACTCCTCAGTAGTGCGCATCCACGGTCCCGCCCCCCCCCGCGAGGTTCGAACACAGAACCTATCAGTCTCGCGCGCGAGTGCTCAACCATTAGACCATTGAGCCGGCATCCAACAAACAATCGGTATATTATTCCCGATGTAATATGCTAAAATTTTACATAGTACGACACTGTTTATATGTTAGAAACGCTATTGTAAACAAATGCTTCTTTTAAATTTAATGATAACACATTCCAGAATTTATTTTACAGTAGTTATGTGAAATCTTTTTTTTAAAAGTTGTATTAACTTCATAATATCAGTGATAGATAGTTCAGGTATGTTGACGATTAATAAAACCAACGTCTATAGGTAATAAAATTTTACAATATTGTCAAGCATCCTATTTCAAGATCATTACAAAATAATCTACTTTTAAATTAACAAAATAAAGTGATTTAAATGATTTACAACATTCTACATTCAAGAACTTGCAACGTGATATGACTCGAAGCAAAATCTGGATATTGATTAGAGTGTAAATGATTTATGAAATTAATTTTCTTTAATCATCCATAACATGTAATCATATATTAAGGAGTAATTTCATAACGAGGTAAATTAATTATATTTGTTAGCTACAGCAGTTCAATTATGTAATATTGTAAATCTCTGTTTGTTTGTACAGTAAGCAATTGATTAATTAATGTTAAGGGATACTCAGATAAATGTACTTAAAATCTGACTAATAACCAGTGTAAATCAAACAAAAATATCAGTGTAGTCAGATATTGTTTTGATATATTTTCGGTGAATAATCAATTCTCATCTATTGTATTTGTCCTCTAGCATTGTGTTATGGAAATTACAGTACCGTGTAGCAAGTGCCAGTTTTCCATAACTTTAATACAGTGAAAATAAAAGAAATGTAATCGCATGTATTTGAGCTATTATAATTATTCCCTTTTAACCAAGAAATGTAGATAACAGAAATGAAAAAAAAAAGATTACAAAAACAAAGATACAGTCATGATATGGTCCAATGTGAATTATCAGTTCAAGAGTATAAACATACTTTTATAAGAAGCCAAGAAACCACAGTACATCATCATATTGCCTAAGATTTACACAGTACGGTTGATTAAAATTCTGAAGAGTCAGAATATACATCAGTCAAACTAAATGATCAAAAGTGTTATCACATGAGTATTTCTCCTTTCTTTGAAAAGAGAACGGTATGAGTTGTCACAAAAAGATATAAAGAAGGAACGAATCGAGCGAAGAAATTTCTTTTCAATTAGTTTTTCATCATGGCTCTACACTAATATATATACGTTTTACAATAATAATATAATACTCATCGAGTGGATACGTTACGTAATAATTACATAATGACATTTAAATTAACATTCAGTAATTGGAAGAGAGAGGATTATTAATATTCAAAGTAATCAAGAAGTTGCTATGTTGCGTAATATAAGAAACAAAGAAGGAATAGAATTTTACCGGATGGTCAATAGGATGGTAGTTACGTAAGAATCAAGAGATGAATGTTGAGAAGTTATTAAGTTCAAAAGCAACAGAAATAAAATTACAAAAGTTTAAAAATTACAAAAATTACAAAAGTTTTAAAAAATGGAAGAAGTATGAAAAATAGTTCTTTTGAAGGAAATCTTAAACTGATGGCCAGGGCAGGGAAAGTGGTTGTACGAATCTCTTTTGTATGCAAAGGTCAGGTTTGTGAACATGGATTGCGATGGCTTCTGCAATGTGCAAGAGGCGCACTCGTAAACCATGTGGCAAATTAGATGGGATATTGTAGATAACCTTAAAAGCTTTATTCACTTCGACTTGATGACCTGTGTCAACCAAGTGAGAGAGAATAGAACTTTTAATCACTTTTACCTGTCCTTTGTTTAACCACGACGGATGATGTTCAGTAATGCGATGACGGACTTGCCGAATCGTACGCCCAATATAACTGGCTCCACAGGAGCAGTTGAAACGATAGATACACATAGATTTGGCGAATTCAGGCAGTCTGTCTTTGTTTACTGTTGTAGAAGATTACATTTAATCTGGCAGCATTAAATGTTTTTTGTACGGCTCTTCTTAGTTTCTGAGTTAAGGTTTCTTCAATGGTGTCATTTATGAATTGTAGTTTTATGAATAGTACCTTCTTATGGACGGTGGGTATCTTTGTCCTTGTTTTCTTCTCCATCATATGTTTGTCGATGAATTTCATGGGATACCCATTCATACTAAGTAGGTTCCGAATAGTATTCAATTCTTCTTCGATGGTGTCTTCAGAGCAAATCATTCTAGCCCGATGTGTCAAGATTTTTATCAAGTTCCTTTTGTATCTGATTGGAACTGCACTATAGAAATGAGTGTATTGTCCTGTTGAAGATTTTCTGTGTACCCCGCTTTTTAAAGTTCCGTCTGCTCTTCTTTTTAGCTGGACATCTAGAAATGATATGCTGTCGTTCTGTTCATCTTCTGATGTAAAATTAATTGATGGATGAACGTTATTAAATGTATTAAGTAAATTGTCCTTATCATTCTCTTTTTCTAGTACTATGAAGGTGTCGTCTATATAGCGATAATAAGTTGGTAAATGGCTAATTATGCTTTTAAGTGGTCCGTTTTCCAGTTTTGCAAGGAAAATATCAGCCAGTAGAGGGCCCAATGGTGATCCCATGGCAACTCCATCTAGCTGTCTATAGTATTCGTTGTCAAATCTGAATTGTGCATTCATTGTGCATCTGAGAATTAACTGTTTTATCGCGGATGCTGGAATCGGGGTTTCTATACGTCTTTCTGTTAGTTCATTACAAATAAAATCAACTGTTTCTTGTAATGGAATGTTAGTGAATAAAGATGATACATCAAGTGATAACATGAAATTATTCTTGACTGATAGATTTTTTATGTTCTCAACAAATTCAAAGGAATCCTTGACACTATGCTTGACAATTTCTTTGTGTAATGGTTTAAGAATTTGCACCAACCAAAAAGATATGATTTATTTCCATTAGCTAACGAAGTTACCTTAATATAACATATCAATTTGTTATAGAATCAGTTAAAATTTATCGACTGGTGATTCTGATATGAAGAAAATGCACCAGAAATAGCAAATCTAATTGATTATTTTGTCAAGTAAAATTTAAAATAACCGCCAGAGGTTGTCTGCAACGCTTTAAATATTCAATCACAATGTTCTATTCAACAATATCAGTTATCTTTCAGTTCATTTAACGTATAATTACTGTGATTTTTCCTAGACATTTCATTTCAAACACTAGATTTCACTATATTCTTGTTTGTCATCCAACTTGTTGGTCCATGCTACGCTGACGTGCTTATAGAAGTGAATTGTGGATAACTCCAGATAAATGACATGAAAACTAAACCGTGATATGCAGTACTGATTTATAGAACTTAGCGGTAACTTCCCGAAAATGCCGAATATAACACACCTGTTGAACATTGAAAACATTATGAATAAACCTCAAACAAAATATCTGTGTACATCACTTTCTAATACTTCGAAACTTTCATTCGTTCTTACCTTAAACTGTACATCATATAATGGTTTACCGTACCAATATCTTAAACAAGCATACATTGGACGTCGATAATGAAATTTTTCTTCAAATCCAACAGCAGCAGTTTGAGTGTCCGTTGCAGTATTGCCACTACTGCTACTACTATTATTACCGGTATCTGTTTGACTACCACTACTGTTTAAGTGAGAATCAGGTTGGCGTGAAGAATTTTGTGATGTAGATGATGAAGAAGCAGCTATCACAGCATCAGCTGCACTACCAGCACTGCCAACAACTCCAGTACCAGGTGATAATTCTATAGAGACAAATGCTGTAAGCAATGCTCTGACAGCATTACTCAATACAGGATCATCTGTGATTTCTGAATCTCGATTCATAAGTTGTTCACGTCTATGGCTAAGACGAAAAAAAGTAAAACAGAGAGGAAATAATAAGTTAAATTACTCAAATATAACATGTACTTAAGGCGAAATCGTATCGCAGGTAATAATCTTAAATCTGTTAAACAGAAATCAACCTTCAACATTTGATTCTTAAATCCCAAGCTTAGGTCTCATGATTCAGAAACTGATTCGTTTAGAAGACTCATCTCATATATCAACATAAATTATTTCACAGTAAATATGCACTTAAATTTGTTCCAGCTGTTTTTTGATGCTTAAAGGCTGAAATGTTTTAAATTATCTATTCTAATCTTAATGAAAATAATTATTTAAACTGTATAGATCCAGAGAAAGGAACTATCGTAGGTAAAACTTCGCTGGTTTGAATTGTCAATCAGGATTTTCATTATACATACATATATCCAAACGCTGTGAACTATGATGTGCTACACGGAAAAAGTTCTAAAAAAACAACTCAAATATACAGTACCAATCGACAACACACACACAAAACTCTATAATGTTTTTGCATAAAAACATTGTTTTGAACCTAGAATAATTTTTTGGTTCGTAATCCAACAATCTTATATCTTGATATAAAATATTTATTTCGACTGGGAAGAAATGTACAACTAAGAATGAATTTTACAAGAGTAGTGTAGTGTACGAAATAAAATCCATCGTGTGCAACAAATTTCTCACGTAATCCAATGCTCAACAATCATGAATTTTACACCAATCGTTCAATGAATAGTACCCAATGTGATGATATCAAACATTTATTGCTTGAGTAAGATGGATTTTGCTGAAGTTTGATTCACAATTGTGAAGACAATTTCGGTTAGAAAGATGTTCAAAGCGACAACACAAAGACAGATATAATATGTGCATGCTTCATGGCGCTCTATGGATTAAGCACTGAACTTCAACTAATAAGTTGCGTCTTGGCCCCCTTCTTGCTTATAAATCTCAGTTTAAATATATAAAAAAGCTGCGATTTTGAAGCCCATGTATCAAGTACGATGTACACACTAAACTGTGAACAGTTGACAGAGTTTTATCACTTTATATTTCACAATTGCACGAAGTAAACTAAAAATTTATGTATTGTACATCTGGGTAAATGACAAAACTCTTATAAGTCTATGAGACAGAAGTATAGAGACACCACCATCATGACGTAAATATGAAAAGTTACATATCAATATGTGATTCGTTAGTCACATTAACAGTATGTTTCCTTAAGGATGAATTTGATTTCGGTAAACACAGTTTGTATCAAATACAACCACCATTATAGCAAAATAAATATGAAAATCACAACAAAATATCAAATATTTAGTTACCACGAAACTATGTGGAGATATGTACTAGTTTTACTACACGAATTTCGCTCTCCGAAATTCCAGAATAAACCTGAAATTCACAACGCCTGCCCACTTTTTATACGTTATCCTTCCTTGAATCGTTTAAAGGTCAGTTATATATTATAAATATGGAGGAATTCACTCATAATACAGCTTTTCACAAATGCAATAAGTTATATCTCATAAAAATTTAATCTTCGCAAGTGTATGTGTCAACAATGAAGTGTAATTGGTCATATTATACTAAAACATTTACCTACATGGAATATACATGTTATGAACGGGGAATTAAGAAGCCAGACAATTACGAAAGCTATTTTCTTGGGACGTTATTACATTTCATTCAAAACCTGTAAAACACTTATATTTATTTTTGTCCCTATCTTATTTTACATAACACGAGCTTTCGTTCTATGTATCATTCACTAGCATACCCTTTTTTGTTCCAAAAATATTGTAATTTAAACATTATATTTTGCACTATATTTTCTACCCTAATTCCCTGTTTCGGGCACAACTGTATTTTTCCAAATTATCCTACGTCGTGGTCAAGATATGCACTTATTTATTCATGTACATTTTTGTAGTAATCCGAATTCAGAGAATCCAGAGTTTAGTGTTCCAACTGTCTTGTCTTCTTTCACTCGCGTGCTTGCCAACCAATCAGGATTAGAATAGTTCTCTCTACCCCCAATCGAACTCACGCGTATTAGACTCAAGGTTAAGCCACTCAGCCTAGCGCGTCAAGGTCATAATTTAGATTAGACAGACCAAAGGCCAAGTCATAACAAGTATCACGGGGTAAAAGCGATCCAAGGTCATAACAACTGGCGACGGGAGATTGTTTTTTTTTTCTTCTTTCCTATTGATTGATCCAGTACAAAATGCCTGTTTCATTGGATGACCTTAAAACTATTCTTCAAATGCAGCAAGCACAAAATGAGGCAAATCAGACGAAGCTTTTGGATGCATTCGCACGAATGTTCTCATTACAGTCGTCTTCAGCTTGTCAATCAGATAAGCATGAAAGCATCATAAATTCTATTTCTGAATTCCAGTATGATCCTGAAGCTAATGTCATTTTCAGTTCGTGGTTTCACCGTTGTGAAGATATTTTCCGCGTTGAATGCTCGCATCTTGATGACGCAGCAAAAGTTCGCTTACTCTTAAGAAGACTGGGAACACAGGAATATAATAAATATGTGAATTTTATCTTACCGCAAAATCCAAGAGAGGTATCATTCAAAGATACAGTCCAGATTTTATCTGATATTTTCGATGAACAGTCCTCATTATTTAATACTCGCTATAAATGTTTCCAAATAACAAAATCTCCAGAGGACGATTATCTTACGTATGCCGGGAAGGTAAATCGACAGTGCGAACGCTTCAAAATAAACGAAATCACAGCGGACCAATTTAAATGCTTGATTTTCATATGTGGCCTAAAGAATGAAGAAGATGCAGATGTCCGTACCAGGATGTTGGCACGAATTGAACAAGAACCAAATATGACATTACAAATGGTTACAACCGAATGTCAGCGGTTGCTTAATCTCAAGCATGACACTGCGATGCTGCAACAGAAGGTTAAACCTTCCGGTTTTGATTCAATTAATGCGCTCCGATCCATAAAATCATCGAAACAAAACTGTACAAGCAGGAAACAACCTGCCAACCCCCCATCACCATGCTGGTTTTGCGGAGCATGGCATTTTGCAAGATTCTGTCCGTTTAAGAGTCATAAATGCCGCAAATGTCATCGCATTGGCCACAAAGAAGGTCATTGTTCGTTAAATAAACGCAAGACTAAACATCGTAGTGAAAATTCAAAGCAACGATCAAATAGTCAAATTAAAACCACTTTTGCAACCTTTAAAGTTGGATTTAAAAATAGGCGGAAATTTGTAAATTTATTAGTAAATGAAAAACTTATACGACTTCAGTTGGACACTGCTTCTGATGTCACGTTGATTTCAAAGAACACATGGCACAAGTTAGGATGCCCATCCATCCGACCGACGGAACATGTCGCCCGGAATGCGTCAGGAGACATAGTAAAGTTGACAGGAGAGGTTCTATGCAATGTTCAACTTATGGGAAGTAAATTTACAGATGTTTGTTATCTAACAAATCGACACGATTTAGATCTATTGGGATTAGATTGGATTGCACATGTTGATACTTTGAATAAATTATTAGATGAGGTATGTTCTCAAAATGTTTCCTATGAGTCTATCCAAATCCCTAATGATATTTCTAAATCAAATGCTTCCGACGAATCATCCTCTCTGGATATTAACGAATTAAATGCTTCTGATGAAACATGTTCTTATGATCTTTCTGAATCAAACAATTCAAATGTTATGTGTTCTCACCATGTCAAATCTAATACCGCCGATTTATTGCCTTCTCATAAAATTTCCAAATCGAATACTTCAGACAAAGTATGCGCTAGTGAAACTTCGGAATCTCATGTACTTCGTTCTAATGTTATGTCTACATCAAAGTCTTCTGTTTCCTCTCAATTGTCGTCCGTATCTTACATAAATCATCTTCGACAAAAACATGCATGTGTATTTCAAAACAAACTGGGCTGTTATAAATTCACCAAAGTATCCTTATCACTAAAGGAAAATGCAAAGCCCATTTTCAGACCGAAACGACCAGTGCCTTATGCTGCTCTGTCAGTCGTTGATCAAGAATTGGACAGGTTAGAAGCATTAGGTGTTATTGAGCCAGTAAATTATTCATCGTGGGCTGCACCCATAGTGGTCGTGAGAAAAGCAAATGGAACTGTTCGCATATGTGCTGACTTTTCCACTGGTCTGAATAATGCTCTAGAAGATCACACGTATCCACTTCCCATACAGGAAGATTTATTCATCAAACTAAATGGAGGAAAGTATTTTGCTAAAATTGACCTGGCTGACGCATATCTCCAGATAGAAGTTGATCCAGCCTCCCAACCATTACTGACGATTAACACCCACAGAGGTCTTTACCAATATAAGCGTTTACCTTTTGGTGTGAAACCAGCACCAGCTATCTTTCAACAAATAATGGACACTATGTTGGCTAATTTGCCAGGAGTCGCTGTCTATTTGGATGATGTAATCGTTACTGGTTCCAGTAAGTCCGAGTTATTCAATCGACTCGATACTGTTTTAACCAAAATATCTGAGTGTGGATTCTATCTAAAAGAAGAGAAGTGTACATTTTTCATGAACTCGGTGAAATATCTTGGTTTTGTTTTCGACAGAAATGGACGACGCCCGGATCCGGAAAATGTACGAGCTATCCAAAATATGCCTACCCCATCGAATGTAGCAGCTCTGCGTTCCTTCCTTGGTCTTATCAGTTATTACAGTAATTTCTTGCCACAATTGCATCGCCTCCGGGCACCCATGAACCAATTATTATCCAGTAATGTAAAATGGAATTGGTCCACTAAGTGTCAAAAATGTTTTGACGAAGTGAAGTCATTATTAACGTCGGATCTACTTCTTACATATTTTGATCCCTCGCTGGAAATCGTTGTTGCTGCAGATGCTTCTGACTATGGTATCGGTGCCGTCATATCCCATAAGTTTCCAGATGGAAAAGAAAAGGCTATCGCACATGCTTCCAGAACATTGACTTCAGCAGAACGCAAGTACAGCCAAATTGAGAAAGAAGGATTGGCATTAATTTTCGCAGTAAAAAAGTTTCACAAGATGCTGCATGGCAGAAAATTTACCTTAATCACTGATCATAAACCCTTATTATCAATTTTCGGATCTAAGAAAGGTATACCAGTTTATACCGCAAACCGTCTCCAACGATGGGCTACAATGCTATTGGGTTATGATTTCGTTATCAAATACAAATCTACCTCTGATTTTGGCCATGCTGATGCATTATCGCGCTTAATAAGCAATCATAAGCTTGAAAACGAAGATACTGTTATCGCTTCTATATCAGTAGAAGAAGATGTAAGCAGAATGTTGTTTAATTCAACACAAATTCTTCCAGTGACAGCTGCTCGAATCGCTGAACACACTCGCCGCGATCCTATCTTAAGACGATTATCTACATTTATCCAGCGTGGTTGGCCCCCACGTATAACATCTCATGAACTGAAACAGTATTATCAACGACGCCAATCTTTATCCATCGTAAATGACTGTATTATGGTTGCTGATCGCGTAGTGGTTCCGTATAACTTACGCTCACTCGTCCTGAAACAACTGCATACAGCCCATCCAGGTACTGGAAGAATGAAAGCTATTGCTCGAAGTTATGTATATTGGCCTAATATCGACGAACACATCGAAGATTTCGTGCGTGCGTGCAGAAAATGTGCTGAGGTTTCTAAGTGTCCACGAAAAGCTGAACTACATTCCTGGCCATCTCCAGAAGAACCTTGGTCGCGTATACATGTTGATTTTGCTGGCCCATTCCAGGGTACGTACTTCCTCGTTTGTGTTGATGCTTATTCAAAATGGCCGGAGATTTTTCCTATAAATCAAATCACTTCGCAACAGACTATCATGAAGCTACGGCAGTTATTCTCTCGTTTTGGAGTTCCAGATGTTCTCGTGACAGATAACGGCACTCAGTTTATTTCTTCTATCTTCTCAGATTTCTGCAAGAGGTTTGGAGTCAAACATGTCCGTTCACCTCCGTACCATCCACAATCGAATGGTCAGGCCGAAAGGTTTGTAGATACTTTCAAAAGAGCGCTACTGAAGGCAAAAGGGGAGGGGAAGATAGAGGGGATTCTTGATGATTTTCTCTTGGTCTATAGAACAACTCCAAACCCATCAACACCAAATCAAATGTCCCCAGCAGAAATTATGTTTGGTAGAAAAGTAAGAACTGCCCTCGATGCCATGAAACCACAGCAAGTAGACATCGGAAAAAGAAACAGGAAGATGGAAAACCGATTTGATCGCCATCATGGGGCAAAACGCAGAATTTTCCAAAGAAATCAAAAAGTATACGTCCGCGATTTCCGATATTCACCT